ATCGATGCCTCAGGACAGTCTTGGAAGTATTACCAACACACAGCTTTTTATTCCTATTTTACAGATGAGGGAGGCAAGGCCCAGAGGGTCACAGCAACTTGCCCAAAGTCACAGAGCAAGCTGGCAGTAGACATGGAAATAGAAACTCTCTTCTGTCCAATGTCCCAGACTGCCTATAAGGGAGCAGCATGCCTGTGGGCTTGGGCCCAGAGCCAAGGGGCCTGGAACTTACAGGGGAGAAAGCCAGAGACTTTGCCCTTTTGTCTGGGAGCACTGACAGGGTCCCTGTGGCTGCCTGAATGTTTGGAGGGGACTCAGAGGAGGTCCCAAGCTTAGGCATGTAGCATGGAGGCTAAGAAAAGGCAACTTGAAACCTGGGTGGGTTCCACCACTCCTTCCCCCAACAGTAGACTAAGCAGACCTCAAGCTTCCTTTGATGCAAAGCCGGAGACAGGCTAAAGGGGGTTCTTCCTAGCCTGTGACCACTTGGTGGCTTGTTCACCAAGACATGTACACATGTAAGTGGTAGTGTGTGCATGTCTGGACTCCACGTGTGTGCACTCAATGTGGATGCATGTGCATGCATGCCTACAAGTACACTTAGGAGGACATTCATTACATGTAACATGTATGTGTTTGCAAACCTGTATACATGTAACTGCATTTGTTTAGTTGAGGTATATTTGTGTATGTTCAGATGTTCATTAAAAATGGAGTCTGCATATCTGGCAGGTGACTATGCACATATAAAATTTTGCTTGCGTGCATACTTGGTATGTTCACAATTGTACTTGGGTATGTGCAAATGTCCACATGTACTGGTGTGTAGAGTGGGCTAGAATATGTGTACACACATGACTGGTGAGTGTGTGTAAATGTGCATGCAGGGATGGCTTTATGTGACTGTGTGCACAAGAATCATAGGAGCGCCTCCCAAGAGCCAGGCACTGGGCTCACAGCACTCCCACCTTCACTTCACACATGCACACAATTCCCCAGTCCCATCCTGCTTGGCCAATTTGCAGCAGAAGCAGCTTGCTCCCAGCTCCCGAGAAGGCCTGCAGCAAAGTCAAGGAGCTGGTGGCCAATTAACGAGGGGGTTAATCAGGGATCTGGGGACCCCCAGGGGGCGGGAAGCCAAAGGCAGGCATTGGGGTTGGCAGAAGCATGAGCTGCCTGTCATGAGGGTGGGGGAGTGGGGGGACTGGGAGAGGGTGCTGAACCGGCCCGTTGGTGCTGGAAACCAAGGGTTGGCCTCTGAATCTGTGATTGCTGAGCACGGACAGCAGCAGAGCACATATACAAGTGTGTGTGCACTGTGTGTGAAAGGGCATGTACATGCACTCAAGGCCCTGAGTGTGGTCCTGCATGCAAATGTGTATAGACACCATCTGTATACACAGGTGCAGTTTTCTGTCTGTGTATATGTGGGTGTGCAGTGGTGTGCAAATGGGTTTGGGTACTCATGCATGTCTAGATCTGTGTGCACATGTGTATACAAGGGTCTCTGTGTATACACATGTGCAAGGGCCTGTACGTACACTCAAGTATAAGCTCCAGCATGAAAATGTGCACATAAAGTTGACATGGTCTGTGTATACATGTGCAATGATGTATCTGTGTGCACAAGTGTGTGTGCACTGTTGCGCAGATGTGTCTGTGTATACATGAATGTGTTTGTGTGTGTTTGCTCTGAACAGCCAGGGGCCTGGACGCCCGTATGTGTGTCTGTGTGTGCCCTTGTGCATGTGTCCGTGTTTGTGCAGGTCTCAGCACAGAAGGAGCTGGGGGATGCGGGCTGGCGGTCTCCAATCTCCAGGAGGGAATCTGACAGACGAGCCTTGCCGCAGCCCCCGGCCCCGGGAGCCTGTTTTCCAGCCTGCGGAAGCTGTGAGCCCGTGAACTCATCTTATATTAATAGCTGCTGTCTCCTCACTTATTGCAGGGAGAGGCGGTCATGGCCCCAGCGGGGGCTCAGCGTTCGGGGCTGCCCCCCCACACACACCACATAGGACCAGAGGAGAAGGGGAGGAGAGATGGGCCCCACCCCCATCCCAGGGCCTACCCGCAGCAGGAAGGTGGGGCTCTATGCCCTCCCCCAATTCAGGGAGCCCCACTGCCCAGCTCACCCTCTTGGGCCTCTGTAGCTGGGTGGGATCAGGCATGGGGGATGGAAAGCTGGCAGAGACAGAGAGGCTGGGAGGCTTGGCTACCCCTCCCCAAACACATACACACACACACACACACACACACATACACACACACGCACGCACACACACACACCCAACCTGTGGTGCTGAGCAGCCCCTGGCTGAGCACCAGAGGAGTCTGAGGCAGAAAGAAACATAGGAGGCTTAAGTCTGAGGGGGAAGACGCAGTCCTGCTGCTAGGGGCTCTCACTCTGCAAAAGACATGACCCTGCTTTCAGGGGCCCTCAGTCGAAGGCAAGAGACAGAGCCCAGATCTCAGGAGTTTCCAGTCTGAGGAGGGAGATATGACCCTCCTCAGGAGCCCCTAGTTTCAAGGAGAGATCTGCTTTCAGGAGCCTTCAGTTTGAGGGGACAGGTATATCCCTTCTCTCAGTGGCCCTTAGTTGGAGGAGGGACACACAGCCCTTCCTTCAGGGACCTCCACTCTGAGGAGGAAGGTAAGCCTGCTCCTCAAATGTTCACTCAGGAAGGTGTAGTAAGGTGTATTGTATTCATCACAGCTCCATGGCCACAGCAGGGCTCAGCTGCACAGGCTTCCTGCAGGAATCATGGGGCAGGGGCACAGTGAGGACCTGCGTCTGCAGAATTTCAGGAGGAGGGAAAGCCCAACCAGTCCACTACACACAGGCTCCAACCTGAGGGACAGATTCAGACAGCCCTTAGGGTGGGCTCAGGACCCAAGACAGAGGCCCCAGATGCAGGCTCCCAGAAATGCCTCAGACCCAGCACAGACGGAGGAAGACCATCAGCACAGGGGCCCAACACAGACCCTCCCAGACACAAGGATGGCAGGCAGTAGGAGCCTGCTTGGGCCCTGGAGCGGGAAGCAGGGCAGGGGAAGCAAAGGGCCCAGCCCCACCCAAGGCAGCATGGGCACCTGCTGGGGGCTCCTCAGGAGCATTGGGGGGGGGCAAGAAGGCCCTTCCCTCCATGGCCCCTCCTAGCATTTGGGGGGTCACCTGGACACCCTCAGCTACTCCCCAGCCTGGGGACAGGCCTTCCTACCCCAATTTCCTTGCTTGCTGCTTCTGAGTTTTTCCTGGAGCCCACTTCCTCAACCAGGAAAGAAACTAAGTTGGAGTCAGATGGACCTTGGTTCAAATCCCAGCTCAATTCCTTACTAACTATGTGACTTTGGGCAAACCAAATGTCACCTTTCAGGGAGGCCTTTCTTGGCCATCATTATTTTAAAATAACTCACATAATCAGTTGGCCCGTTAGCTCAGTTGTTTAGAGTACAGACTTACAACCCCAGGTCACAGGTTCTGATCCCTAGACCGGCCAGCCGCTAAATAAATAAATAAAAATTACTCACATACTTCCTATCCTTCCCTACTTTATTTTTCTCCGAGGACTTATCTAACATTACATTTTTTGGAAACTTTTCTGTTCATTGTTATTTCCCTCAACTAGAATGTAAGCTGTCCACAGGAGAGCAGCGAGTGAATGGAAGTTCATGACTCTCAGAGCCTCAGCTTCCTCTTGTAAAACGGGGAGAGCGATAGTACCCACCTGAAGCCAGGGAGATGTGTGAAATGTTTGGCTCCAAGTTTGGCATAGGGGAGGTGCTTACCGAGTGGGGGTCTTTTCCCAGGGACCTTCCAGGAAGATGGGGAGAGAGGATAGGGCTCAGCCTGACTTGGTGGGGCCTCCCCACGTTGTGCCTGGGCCTGGTGGCATGTCCACCTGCCTTGAACTCCTGTGGCCATTCTTAGAGAAGGGTCTTCAACACCAGGCAAAAGAGCTCTCTCTGTCCAGGGAAATGGAGAAAGACCTGCATCCTAGCCTGGCACAGCTGTGTGACTTTGAATGGTGAACACATGGCTGCTCCTCTTTGGGCCTCGTCTCCCTCTGTGTGATGAAGGGGTGGGCCAGAAATGCTCCGAGGGCCCCACCCCTAGGCTTTGCCCAACCGGAAGGCCTGAGAGGCTGGGAGTCTTGGCTAATCAGTTTCCTCTTCAGCCACACCCCAAACCTGCTCCTGCCCTTGCCAGATAAACACATTCTTTCTGGAGTCCTCTTCCCCTCGCCAAACACCCAAACTCGGCCATGCACACATATAACCCCAAATGCATACGCTTATAGTCACTCACTTTTGCATAGACAAGAAGCTCTTCCAGCTCCAGATTGACCTCATCCAACCACCTCCTAAATGTGGCCCAGTGACCCTGAGAATGAACTCCACCTTAAATCAGTGTCCAGAATATCCTAAGCCCCAGGCTTTGGAAGGAAGGAAATGAGAGGCCATCGCCCCATAGACAGAGCACAGATTCTAGAAAACAAATATTCCAGGTCTGAATCCTAGCTGTACAACTTTCTAGCTGAATGACCCAGGGCCAGTCACCGGCTGGAGAAAATATGACTTGTGGCACAGAATGCTTGTTAGGCATAAGTGAGGCAGCACTTAGCGCAGTGCCTAGCATACAGTGGACACCCACTATTAGGAGGGGCTATTATTATTAAGGAAACTGACATACTTTGAACATAGTCTTCATGACAAAGCCCCAAACCCGTCTAATGTGGGCTGGATGTGGGCATCTTCAACCCAAGAAGGGCCTACATCCTGGTTTCTGCCCCTAGCGGGAGGAGAGGTCCTTGCCAGGCAGTGCCCGGGTCTGAGTAGAGGGGCACTGTCATCCTTGGGGGGTGGGGGGGCGGTCACCAGCCAGCCACACTCTACACTGGTTTTCCAGCTTTCCAGACCCCCCATGCCTGGCCTGACCCTCTCATTTCAGGCTACCTCCCACCAGGCCCCACTCCACACCCTCCACACAAACATACAGAAATATATTTATCACAAAATCATTTTTTATTGAGTTGGGTTGGGGACAGGAACAGGGAATACACTGGGGGCCATAACCCAGTTGGCAGAGGGATGGGGTGTTGGCTCATGCCCTGCCTCCTCTAGGGCACCCCAAGGTGAGGCCTGGCTCCCAGGCCATGGCTATGGCGCTGGACACCAGGCTGGAGAGGAGTTGGGGTTGCATGTTCTGGTCCCGGCTGCCTGGCCGGGTTGCAGTTTCCCCCAAACGGCCACCAGAGGGCAGCCAGCCCCCAGCGCAGAGGAATTCTCGGTTGCTCAGGTGATGGCTTCTTAAAAAAATAAAAAACCAGAGGCTGGTGTGTTCCCCCTGTAAACCCGAGCGGGGCGGGCCTGGGGAGAAGACTCTGGTTTCTATGATCTCTTCGATAAAAAATAAGCAAAAATAATAACAAAATATGTGGTTTCTCTTTCTCCCTTTCCCCCCTCCAGGAATTGAGGTCAGAAATGGGGGTATAAGGACTGGGGGTACCCCGGTATGGCCTGGATTTCAAGACGTGGGTCTCTTTTTTTCCCCTTACCACCCATAAATAAATTTATAAATAAATAAATAAACCATAAATAGATACTCTCTTTGTATGTGCACATATATATATATAGATAAATCTTTCTCTTATCTAGGCAACTCAGTGACTAACCTCTCTTTAGCTCAGCAATTCAAAAGTAAAGTGACACGGTCAAGGTCAAGTTTGGGAGAGGGACTTGGAATGGCAACTATAAAACTCCCAGCATTCTGGAATTGCAAACCAGCTAGGCCGTGGACCATTTCTGAGTGCGACCCTGACCACCTGAACATTCTAGAACCATGGAGCCAGCTGGGCCCCCCAGGGATCTGAACAGAATCCTGAAACACCCAATGCCCTAGAACTCCAGAACCAGCTGGGTCTTGGGGGTGTGGAGCTGGGGGTTTGGAATAAAGCCTGGAGAACCTAACATTCTAGAATTCTGTAGTGATCAGGGCTGAAAGGGTAACCAGGGATGCAACTAGACGTCACTGGGGGAACGGGATCGGAAGGGGATCTTGGAAGAGGAACAGCAGCAACAGATGGCCCACAGCACCTTCTGCACGTCCTGGTTGCGGAAGGCATAGATGATGGGGTTGATCATGGAGTTGTAGGTGGCAGGGAGCAGGGTGAGATAGGTGTAGAGGGGTGGGGAGTGGGCATCGCCCAGCAGGCAGTAGACGGTGAAGGGCAACCAGCAGGCAGCAAAGGCGCCAAGCACCACAGCCAGTGTGGCAATGCCCTTGCGGGTGGCCACATAGTGGGAGGCAGGCAGCAGGTGCCGCTGGAGGGCAATCTGCTGGGCATGGCGGCAGACGATGCGGCAGATCTGGGCATAGAGCTGCAGCATGATGCCAAACACCATGAAGAAGGCAATGGCCAGGACCACCAGATGGTTCTTGGAGAGTGGATATACCACGCCACATGTGATCAGGCCATCTAGGCAGTTCCAGGCTAGCACAGGCAGCAGCCCCAGGCCCAGGGCACCCCCCCACACTAGAGCCAGCATCACGTAGGTCCGTGTTACTGTTGTCTCCGAGTAGTAGGTGAGGGCATTGTACAGAGAAAGGTAGCGGTCAACAGTGATGGCCAGTAGGCTGCCGACACTGGCGGTAAAGGCCATTGCCAGCACACCCACCAGCACCAGGCTCATCTCCACCGAGCCAATGCAGAAGACAGCAGCAAAGTGTAGGACCAGGCCTAGGCCTGCCAGCAGGTCTGCCACAGCCAGGTTGCCCACTAGCAGGAACATGGGGGCGCGGAAGGTGGGAGTGCCCACGATGATGGCCACCACCAGCGCATTTTCGCAGGACACCAGGGTGCCTGAGATGCACAGCACCACATCCCAGGCCCTGGGCGAGGGCAGTGTTGTAGCTGGGCCCGTGGGACCCTCTGCTGGGCCCACACTGCTCACATTCACGTTGTCAGAGCCAGCTGAGAGCCAGGCCAGGGGGCTGCCTGCACCCCACGTCATGGTACCTGCAGGAGAAAGGCCCTGTGAGAAGCTGGCAGGGCTGGGTAGTGGGAGGAGGGGTCTGGAGGGGGTGAGGTGCCCCTCAGGATAGGTGGTAGGAGTCTCTCCTCAGAATACCTGGTAGGGTCCCAATGCCTTGTCCCCTCATTCATGACCTGAGGCTCTTCCCAGGTTACCTTTGTCCTCTCCAATGCCCCCAGGCCTCTAAACAGGTGGTGTCTTTTCCTGGGGATCCCTGTTCTGGGTCTGTTCACCTTCCCTTCCAATCCTTTAAGGTCCTGCAGGCCTCTTTTTCCCACATGTGTGACCAGAGAAGGACCGGAAGAAGGGTTGCCATACATGGATGGGGGCCCATAGGATCCAGAGGATGCCCCCTGAAAGGCTCAAGACTGGGGGAGAGAAATACTTCTCAACAGTGAGGGCAGCTCTGCTCCCTCCCATCAGAGAGGATGACGCTGGCTCCTTTCTGAGACTCCCAGACCCCTCACGATTCTCAGTCCTGCCAGCCCCTGCCTCCGCCCCCAGGGAATGCGCGTGAAGCTCCCTCCAGCCTCACCCCACGCTCCTAGGGTAACAACACTTGGGAATTCAGTCCCACCCAACACACCTCCTCCCAGACGTCTGTCTGGACCGGCTGGAACCCTCTTTCTGCCTGAATCTCCAGGTCTCTGGAACAGACCCCCCCCCCCCCCCGGAAGCCTGGGTCCCTGAGTCAGACCTCTCCAGCCCGGACACCTGGATCTTGAGCCTGACTCCGCCTTCTGCCCTGATGTCTGGATGCCTAAGTCAGACACCTCCTGCTGCTCAGACGCCGGGGTCCCTGCCCCAAACGCCTCCTGCCGGCCCAACCTCAAATAACCATCCGTCCCTCCAGGACCTCGGGTCCCTGCAGGAATGCTCATCCTTCGCCAGGTCACCCAACTGACGGCTACAGCACCCAAACTCTTGGGCCCCAGCCTGCTAACCCAGCATCCCGGCCGCGACCTCCGACCCTGGCCAGCAGCCTTCCGCCGGCCCAGAGTCCCAGGATCCTGCGTGCCCTCCCGGATGCCTGGTGCCCGCCGCGGGGCCCGCTACTCACCGCTCAGGACCGGGCGCAGCCGGGCCACGGGGAGGTTCGGCGCGGGTCCTGGCGGCTCAGGGTGTGCGCGGACCCGGAGAAGCCCCCGCTGCCGCGGGAGAAGCGGCGTGAGTCACGCCGCCCCGCCCCCGGCCACCGGTTCTGTGACGTCACTGCCCGCTTGGCCAATGGGCGCAGCGCGCTGGGGCGCAACGCCGGCTGCGCGGCATAGTAATGAGGCCTCGCACCGCCCGCTCCCCCATTCATAAAAAGCGACCGTGGCCGCGGCGCCGCCCCCTCCCGAGTCGGCCCGTACTGTCCTTGACGCTGCGCCCTCTGCGGGCCAGGGGTTTCGGAGGCGCTGGTGAGAGAGCCTTGGAAAAGTCTCAGGGAAGCTTCAGGGGATGTGGGAGGCGGAGCGGAAAGGGCACCCGGATAGGCTGTGGAGTGATGGGACCCTCGGGTGGCAGAGACAGGCTGACGGAATCTAGGTGACGGAGGCCGAGTGATGGGACTGAATGGGCGTCCCTGATGAGGATGACGGGGTTGCCGAGAGGAGGGAGCCCTGAGGTGACAGTGACAGGAGCACAAGGGAGCAGAAATGTGGGTGGCAGTGACAGTCTGAGCATGGTGACAGAATCTTGGGGGATGGTGGCCGTGGGACGCCGAGGGTAAAAGAGGAAGCCCCGGGGCAGCCATAGCAGTGTCAGCGTGACTCTGCAGCATGATGGAGTACAGGGTTCCCACGGTAGGAAAGACGGTGGCAGGGAGGACAGACCGTCCAGGTGATGGGACTTCAGGTCACCATGACCCTGTGAGAAGTGCTGAGGTATTGAGGTGACAAAGTCATAAGGGTTGTAGAAGATATCAGGTGACTGTGGTGAGTGGGCCCCAGGGTGAGGGAGACAGGGTAGAGGGTCTGTACTAACAGTGACTGAAGTTGCTGTCAGGGCAGGTCCCGTGATGCTGGGGCTGGGATAAGGATCTGGGTGACGTCACTCATGTCAGCCCAATAGCATCCTCACAGCACAGGAGGGGTGGGCCTGGCAAGATTTCAAAGCCTGAATTATTTATTCAAGGATCTGGAAAGCCAGCATGGTGGGGTGGGGGGCACTTCCCTGAAGCAGCAGGAGATGGGGAGCCGGGAAGAACTTGGAAGCAGAATACCTGACAGCTCAGTCCTCAGGGCAGACGCCTCTCAGCCTCCCATTTCAGGCACCCAATCCTGCCTGTCCTCAATGCCAGGGACCCTCCCCAGCAGACTTCTCCAGGTGTAACAGATGTGGCCGTTTGGGGAAGAGGAGCTGACTCCTCCTCCTCCCTATGTCTCTAACTTTGATCCTCACTAGAATCATCCAGGCCTGTGGGAGGGGGTGGGGAGGAGGATCGGGTTTTGGGCTTGATGAAACAAGTGGGGCCCAGATCCCAGGCCCCACCTGACTCCTCTCCCCATCACAGCACCACTGCAGCTCCCAAGTCAGGGTCCGTTGAGCAGGCTTGGGGCTTGGGTATGGGGCAGTGGGGAAGGCTGGTGGCAGGGAACATGGGAAGAGGAGGGGGCCGGGGCTAGGGAAGATGATGTATTTTGAGTTGGATGTGGTGAGTTTGGGGTGCTAAGCAGGTAGGAAAGATGGTGGCCGGAGTGTAGACTGGATTCAAATCCCAATTCCTCCATTTCCTAGCTGTGTTACTTTGGGAAGTTTCTTAGGCTCTCTGTGCCTGTTTTATCATCTATAAAACAGGGATAATATTAGTACCTGCCTCATAGGATTGTTGGGAAGGGGCCAGCATGTTATCGGCACTGGCTATGTGTTGGCTATCAGTGATATGTCTGGCCAATGGAGGACACCTGAGAGGCATAGGTGTGCAGGTGGTAATTGAGGGTCTAGAGGCAGCTGACATCACCCAGGGGAGAGAGCAGAGTGAGGGGAGGCCTTGGGGAACATGCCACTGAAGGCACAAACTGTGGATGAGGGCGTTCCTGTTCCCGGACCTTTGCACTCGCTGTCCCATCTGCCTAAAACCCCTTTGCCTCCTCCAGGTCTCCAGGTCTCTGCTGCCAAATGCCCAAAAAAAGCCCCAAAATGGGCTTCTCTGACCTCTATCCCAGATTATCACTCCCTTCCCCATCACTCTCCCTTTCTCTTGATTTATTATTTTTCAGAGCATGTAGCTCTCCTGAAATTACATATTTATTCATGTTTGTTTGTTTCCTTACTATGTGACAGCTCCATTAGAATATAAGCTCCATGAGGGTAGTGACTACATCCTATTTTCTGCTGAGAACAGTGCCTGACAAATAATGGGTGTTTCATAAATATTTGTTGACTGGATGATTAAACTAAAAAGGAACAGCTGGAGAAAGAAGGAAGCCACAGGGAGAGTAGGAGTACACCTGGTGTTAAGGAAGGTGGGGGTGTCAGAGAGGAGACAAGGGCGTCAGCACCCCAAGACTCAGGTGTCCACTTTCCTCCTGATCAGAGCTGGATCCCAGTAGAGCTCTGGTCTCAGAGAAGGGTGAAGGCTGCTAGGAGGGTGGCAAGAAAGGGGTGCATGGGAGACTATCTTCTGCTATTCTGGATGTCAGTGATATATTTCTTGAAGTTTTCATAGTGTGTTAATCCTCTGGTGCAAAATTTGTACCATCACTGCAGATAAAATCATTGCAGAATCTTTCTGTTTTCCAGCTTCAGCATTGGCCTTTGGGGTCCCTCAGACTGTCTTCATTCTGTTCTTGAGTTCCATTAGCAGTTTTCTTATGGTATTTTTCTTCTCATATGGGCCATGTCCTGCAAGTCTGTGTTTGGATTACTTTTTCTTTGCATAATCTAAGGAACAGTAAATCATGCCCAAGCTGACTGGCCACCACCAAAACGGGCTCTGAATCCAGCTACAAAGATGACCTCCAGTGTGGTTTTGTATATTTTGGCTAGTTTTTCCCAAATCTCTGTGAAGGTACTGGTGCCCTCCCAGGGTGAAAGGCATCGATGACCATTTGTTCCGCTGAAGTAGCTGGTTGGTAATGAACTTCCTGATCCAAATAGTTACTGTGCCCTTCACAATGGAGGTTGATTCTCAGACAGCCAGGGAGGAAAAGACTGCAGTGACATTTCTAACCCTGAGAAACCCCAGAGACCCAAGAGCCTGAAGCGAGGCTAGGATTTTCACACGCATGCTCTCTCTCTTGCGTTAAACTGCCCCTGCTGACAGGACAATTGGGCCATCACTGCCAATCAGGTCCCTCCTCCCTGAAGAGCTGCTCGCTAGAGGAAGAGGCAGCCCTATGATTCTTGATTCTTGATTCCCCACCTCCTTGATTCTTCCCCACTATTGATACCCTCTCCAATCTTTCCCACCTTCCAGGTGCTGTCATTTGAAGCCAGATCCTTCTGTAACCAAATCCAGTGTGCCTTCCATTCTAGCCTAGATCTTACCCTCTCCCCAGAAGGAGCTAGGGGTAGTTTGACTTGGGCTGACAATACCCGCAGTTCCCCAGGTGGCCACCAGATGGCTGTGAGCGCTCACTTCCAGGTGAGGCTTCTTTCCTTACCTACCTTTCTTCTCCATCAGTCTGGGGAATTCCTTGGGCCTAAATTCTAAAGGGAGGTGTGTGTGTGCATATGCATGTGTATGTGTGTCAATCTCCATACCTAAGCCCCTTGTCCAAAACCCGGGGGTCTGGGCATCGTCAGTGCGTGCATTCTTAGCACAGACCCATCCCCTCAGCCAATATTCACTGACAGGTTCCCTGAGCTTGGATTTCAGTAAGTGCTAGGGATGGAGAGGTGATCTAGCTATATTTCTGCTTTTTCAACATTCAATAAATATTTATTGAGCATCTACTATTTGCTAGACACAGAGGATACAGTAGTGAACAAAAATCCCTGCTTCTTCAAGGAGCTTCCATTTTAATGGGGAGAAATGAACAAGTAGGGAGCCCTTGAGGGTCTCACAGACTGGTAGGGCAGACAAATGTGTACATGAACAGTCACAACATGGTCTGGTATGGTTACTTAATAAACATCTATTTAGCTCTTATTGTGTGCAAAGAGTTCACTAGGGAAGAAGATAAACGTGGTTCCTGCCTTCACAGAACTTACAGCCTAGGAAACAAGTGAGTAATTAATTATACATTTGATACATGCTCTAAGGAAAAAGCAGGGGTTGTGACGTAAAATAACCAGGAGACCTCTGTTAGGTACGGAGGTCATGGAACAAGTCAATTGATCAAAGAGAGGTCACGGCAAATGCAAAGTCCCTGAGGAGGGAAGGAGATGATGTGTTTGAGGACTAGAAAGGAGTCTAGTGTGTCTGGAGTCAAATGAGGAAAGGGGAGAGGTGGGTAGGAGATTACGCGGGTCATGGAAAGCAGTGAGACAGGGGCCATTGGTGGACTTCAGCAGAGGAGTGAATTGATCTGACATGTTTTCAAAGGATCACTCTGACGGCCAAGTGGAGAACAGACTGGGGGGTGGAGAGCAGAAGCCCCACTAGGAGGCCACTGCAGTCATTCAGGCAAGATATTCAGATGGATTCGGATCTACTAGCTGGGACAAGTGCTGAAGCAGCTCAGTTTCATCTCAGACAGGCAGAGAGGGCTTTGTGCAAGAGGTGGCCTTTTAGTGATGTCTTGAAGGATTAGTTTGCCAGGCAGATGGAGTCAGGGGTGGAGGAAGACCCTGTAGGAGAGAGAACAGGATAAATCAAGGAGGTATGACCAGGGGGCCTGCTATTCTATCGTCTTGGACAGTAGGAAAGTGACGGGGAGAACCCGAGACAAGATAGAGAGACTTCTAGAGCCATGAATCAAAGGGTTGTGGAGGCCAAACCATTGTTGAAAAGTTGTTAACTGGAAGAGATGGGGTCAAATCTATGGTTTCAGAAGAGCACTGCACTGTGAGGGCAAGCTTGGGAAGGGGCCTGGAGGCAGAGAGGCCAGCAGAGGGAGGATGAGGGAGCAGGGCCCAGGAGACACTTAGGGGCAGAATCCAAAGGATTTTAATCTGGGGGCTGAGACAGACGGAGGAGGTGAAGATGAGACTATGATTTCCAACCTGGGTGGCTGAGGGGATGAAGGGGCCTCCCTGAGTGGAGAAAAGGGGCTGGGAAGTTTCAGGGGCCTGAGGGACACTCAGGTGAAGGTGCCCAGGAAGCAGGTGGACCCACAGGAGGCGTAGCAGAGGGGACAGTGGCCTCTAGCTTCATTCGACTGTGGCTTTGACCCGCTGTGCTGTCACTGTGTGTTCCTGAACAGCCTGCAAATTGTGGACAACGAAACCCATGCCTAGGGGTTAGTTGTGGCTATTAGACAAGCAGCTGCAAGTAAAGGCTCTTTGTAGAATATACATTCTGCTAGTAGTAAGTATTAGTTACAGGTGTGGCAGCGATAGAGCCTGAACTGGCCTGGAGATGGAGATTAGAGACTTGACTTTTAAATGGGGACTGCCGGCAGAGGAATGGCCAAGATGACCCCAGGAGAGTATGGAATAGGGCTAAGGACTAAACTGGGCCGCCACGGATTAAGAGGGGGTCAGGAGGAGAGGCAGATGGGGGGGGAAAGGGAGGGGAGGGGAGGAGGAAGTGCCTCCTAAGGAACCTGAGGAGCGGCTGCAGAGGGAGTAGAAGAACTAAAAGGGGCTGGTGCCAGAGCAGGAGTGGTGGCCATGGGGGAAGGCTTCGGAAAGGCCTCATTGACCTAATACTGGCGAGACCCATGACTTGGCCAGAGGGTGTGGTGGACTGGAGGCAGACACGTTGGGCTGAAGGGCAGAAAGGAGGGAGCACCGAAGCTGGGGCTGCGTGACCAGAGGCGAGGGGCCAGCTGAGGCCCGTCTCCGCGGTCTCAGCGGTCATGGGGCCTGGCTGGAGGGTGCACCCAACAAGGCCTGGCCTCAGACAAACGCTGAAGGCAGGAAAATGTCCTCACTTCAAATCCAGATTTGCCACTAATTCTGTGACCTCCAACTAGTCACTCACCTTTTCTGAGCCTGTTTCCTCACCTGTGAAGCAGAGATAACAGTGGCTACTTAGAGTTTTCATGAAGCTGCCGGTGGCGGCACCAAGCAACCAAGTCTGCAAATAGTTCTGGACTCCGCCCCCTTTTGTTCAAGCCCCGCCCCAGACCACCGAACCCCGCCCCACCTAGCCGCGCCCACTAGCCACGCCCTTATCTGGCCGCGCCTCCG